GATCTTTACGACAAATGACCACATTAATTGGACATTACGACCAAACATCATGCGACACATTTGAAGCTCACATGAATGAAATATATAGGAAACATAGAAGTAGCAAGTACCTTGTGAAGCAAAGCACAACATCAATAACCCTTTGCATCTCTTTCTTTCACTCTTTTTACCCATCTGCTTGATTAAACAGTTTGATTTCATTCTTTCCGGGTTTGCCTTTACCGATCTTGTCACAGCTGTTGCTGGGGCCACCTTCCCTTTGGATAGATATATCTTCTCAGAAGGCAACCTGGGAAGTGACTTGCGCAGTGGTTGCTTCTTGGTCTCAACGGGTAGAGTTCCTTTCACAACTAATGGCTTCTTCGGAATCTGTCTTCTTTCTCCCGAGTTTTGGAGAATTTGGCCTTGTTATCGGTATCTGCATACAAGTATATAGCATATCACATGATACTATGTATTTACAATATGAGAGGAAGATTGAAATCAGAATGCAGCAGTTACAAAAATGGACCTTCTTTAACTCTGTTTTAGGAGCCTGAGGTTCTTGATAGAAGCTAGGCATTGGGGTGGCTTTGAAGTTCAGAATCTTCCTTAGCATTTTAAGCTCAGCTTCTTGGGTTTCCTGCAAGTAAACCAGAGTATTTTTACAGGAGAAAGACCGAGCATCTAGACACTTTAAACGAATAAGAAGATACTTGAAAACGAACAAGAGAGCATACAATACAATCTTGGACATGGCTTGTACGGTATTCTTTTCCTCTTCTTTCGCATGAATCTTTTCCTCAAGCTTCGAATACAACTGCAGCACATGGCAGAAAAATATGATATTTGTTTGTATGTGTGTTGTGAGGATAACATACAGTGAAGCAGATGAAACCTCTCTTCTTTTTTCCGCCCATTGGTCACATCTGAAACTGAATCCATAATTTGGAAGAGCGCTAGCTCGCTGAGGTTCTGCATTTGGACTACTAAAATGTGATTGAAATTTGATCAACAAATATGATAAGGAAATGAGAATATTGAGTAAATTGAAGAACGCATTGAGGTCAAGCATCTTAGAGAAATTAGTAACCTTCTTGACTTGAGCCTCTCTGCCATTAAGCGATTTGCTCTTTGGAGACTTTACCGGCTGTGCGTTTGGCTGCAGAGGACCTCTCATGCTTGACCTTTCCTTGCACCTTTTGTCCTCTCATCTGTTTCGAGTCATCATCCACTTGTTCAATCTGAAAAAGCGAGAAAAGTACAATATCAATATTCGTATAAAGGGCAAAGAAAAATGGAAAGTTCTAGTCACCAACCTCAGATGCCTCCATAGGATGTTGAGTGGAACATGCTCCTGAGTTCTCTGAAGTGCCATTTTCATTAATGCCATCTTTTTCAGTTGACATTCAGTAGCACAATCAGCCCCATCAGCAGCTACGACGCTTTCAGGTTCCATTGGTAAACTACAAATACAGAATGGAACTAAGACAAATGTTAGTGGCAACAATCACAATCACATTCCTCAGTAGATAAGATCAGCAGAGTCAAGTACCAAAAGAAAGAATTCTCTTGAAATCAAAACATGATAATTTCTAGGATTACAAAGTTAAATATCAATCAACATTGGTTAGGCAGCTACTAATTATCTTCCGGGTTCCTAAAGCGATCTAAGCTCAACAACAAGACTAACAAACCCAGAAAACTAAAATCACATCTCGTTTGTTGAGCAATGAGGTCGCTATGTTGAGTTAGTTGGCAAGTGGCAGTTCCAGTTCGATCTACGGAACATGCAAACCAAAGTAGTGAAAAGCATACAAGTTGCTCAGATTCGTGAAAAATTTCCCCCTTTATGTTTTGTTTTACAGCAAGAGGAAAACAAGATATGAGTAAAAGGAACTACGACAATGGGGAGGCATCTTTCTCACCTAACGCAAGATTTGGTGAAATCAAATGTCCATTCAAGCAGAAGTAGACTGTGTTGTGTATCAAAGGAGGAGAAGGATTTGGTGTCTCAGATTTTAGATTTCCAACTTTTTTTGTTTCTTTTGGTTGTTTATCTTTTTTTTGTTCGGGTTTTTTTTTTTCTTTTTTGTTGTTGTCATCTAATACTAAGCAATTTACCTTAGCCAACCCGATCTAAACAAACATCAAAAGCATATAATAAAAATAGATAACCCAAAATCTCCTATAACGAATAAGTACTGTACCTAATCAAAAGGCGCAAAGACTTCAACCTTCTACAACTTCGACCAATGACGATGGGAAAGAACTAAGCTGTTACTACATCTACAACGAAATCTAGAGGGAAGACTAACCGGTTGGAACCACAATCAGCACCAACTGTTATATTTATGTTGTAGAAAACTATGGTTTTTGGCATGGGCTTTTCTGGTTTCGGGTTAGGCCATTAGTTTATCGCTAGGAGATCCTAACCAGGTCCATCCTGAGATGTTGGTTAGATTTTTTTATTTTGTATTTTAAACCAAAAAATACAAAAATATTTTAATTTATGCAATTAAATTTATCACAAAAAATACCACAATCAACACTAGAAACAGACTCACAATCAGCACGAGTTTTAATAAAATGAATAAATTCACTGAATAACAATCAAAGAAAAGTTAATTAGGAAAATGACAATGTACTGTTTGGGTTTAGGTATTTGACAAAAGGATACCTGCCAAAATGAGTTGAGCATTTTTTTTCTGTTCTCGTGCGAGTGGGGAAGTAAATAGGAGAAGAAGTTGAAATGATGAAAAATTTTGCATTAAATGCAATTTTTAATGTTTTTCTCATTAATACCAAAAATTGATATCATCATTTCATACTCTTTCATTTTCTCCTTCTTCTCGGCGTTTCTGTATTTCATTTCATTTTCTTCTCATCTATTTCTTCTTTATTTTTCTTTCCACAAAATCAGATGCGAGTAAAATAACACCGACAAATTTATTATATGGAACAAAATTACCACAGATCCGAGTCATATCCAACAATGCAAACCCACCACCACTCTGAATCACCACCAAAACCAACACGACGCCGAACTGAGTTGACACAGTGATCCATGCAATATGCAAATAAGGTCTAGGTTGGTATTCTTACATAGAAATTTGACATGTTATGTATTGTAATTTACTAAAAAATAATTTTGTCAATTTACAAATTTACTTTATATGTTAATTATGCATGTCAATGTTTTTGGATAACGAGATATATTTAATTTTAGTGCACTAAATAAATAGAAAACTTATTTACAAAGGATGTTTTATAATTTAGTTACCCGGTTATGTAAACAATTAGAAGTATATTT